AATGTTGCAAGATGTTTTGTGAAAACAATAACGAAACGTTGGGAACCTAAAATGAACCTCGTCATTTGTTACGAGCTCTGAAACACATACCAATAATGTTAAGAAGTGAACTTTAAGCTAATTCAACCCCACAAAACCGGTTTGTAAGATGAGTTATAAATTGGTCTTATCTCTAGTCGATGTGAGACTTCCAACACACCTCCCTCACGCTGAGGTATAAACATCATCTCGAGTGTGAGACTAGACATTAATTGATTGTCCGATAACAACCCGATAGAGGGTGAAACAACGTGCCAAACAAACAACAAATATCGTTAGGATAGACTTTAACCATAACTCTGATACTATCTTAAGAAGTGAACTTTAAATCTAACTCAACCCCACAAAACCGACTTGTAAGATGATGTTTGCATCCACTTAATATTATAAATTGTCCTTTCTCTAGTCGATATGTGACTTCTAACAAATAGTGCAAATAATTATTGGATCCTGTTACTTACTTTGTTTGGCTTCTCAACCTATTGGTTTGATTTTAGCCTATGAGAAAGAAAAACATTTTTCTATACTAAATTAAATAAAAAGTGATATTTTTTATACGGATATTCTAATTATCTTAACTTATATATTCTTATTTATCTAAATTATGTTAATTAATATTTTTTACGAGTTTAAAAATCAATAAGAAAAACTAAAAAATTATGATTAGAAAATATCATATATTTAAAACTAATAAATACTTTTATATGAACTAAAACTGTACAATATAATTTTTAAACGCATTATTGTGTACATCAATCCGTCGTGCATGCACAGCTGCCTGACTCTTTAATTATAATATATATATATACATATAAAGAGATATATACTATATTTAATAAAAAGGAAAGTGGACAAAGAAAAAGTTAATTGTGTGATTCAGATTTATTCATATACATAATAACATATATGTTTGTATAGTTTCTGAGTTTGATTCCCTGCCCACGTTTTGCTATCTATAAAGTGTCATGTGATTTGGGTCCCCACTCCTAATGCCATTGGCATCTTATTCTTAAAGACATTACCATCTTACTCTTAAAGACATTAGCATCTTACTCTTAAGATGCTAAATTGTCAATTCTAAATCAATGAAATTTAAACCTACTCTTAGACTCTTCAACACTTAACTATTTTAATCATACATTTCTTCAACATAAAAAAACCTAAGTAATAATGTATATTTTAAATAAAACTAAACTTACATATATATATATATATATATATTAATATTGATAACGTTATTAGTCTATTAAAAAAATAGTCAAATATTATCTGGAAAAAAACTATGAATTTTGTTATGATGTCGGTTTAAATCATTAAAAGAATTATAAGTTTGATAAAGTAATGTGTTTAATTACTATAATATAATGATAGTATTTTATATTATAATGCTTTAAAATTATATGATAACCAATTTTAACTGCATTTATACTTATATATATAGATTTTTGTTGACATTTATTTTCCAATTTTTATTTAAATAAATGTTTTATAAAATTAAAATAACTATTTTATCAATTTTATAACTGTTTCTTTAAATTTAATTATTTTTTAATTTGATAGTGTTTTTAAATTTAATTATTTTTAATTATAAAATTACTTACCAAATAAATAAAAATTATTTATAAAATAAAATAATAAAATTATTTATATTTAATTTTATTATACTAATAATAATAATAATAAATTTATTATTTTTTATTATCATAAGTGAAGACTTGTATTTTTATTATATTATAATATTATTGAAGAACGTACACTTGCTTTTAATATATATAGAGAGAGAGGGAGATTGAGAGAGAGACAGATAGATAGATTTATTTATTTATATATTATAACTTTTATATATATAAAAAAATTGCATTAACCAAATATTTTCCGTTGTTGCCTAAATTTGAGAATTTTTTTCATAATTCCATTTTGAATTTCTTTTCCCATTTTTACGTCTTACATTACACTTAATCTTATCTGTTCTCCTATTATTAGCACTTCATGCTACACCATTAATCCATATCTTTGGAACATTATCATTACTTTAAATAACAAATAAAATTTACAGTGTTTGTTTTTGGCATAATGGCTTACTTAATCCTCCTATTAAGGATTTTTTTTTTTAATACATGATTTTAAAATTATTTTATTTTGTCTCAAAAAGTGATATAAATTGTATTAATCAAATTTGTAACATCTCAGATTATATATAAGCATATAATATAGTGAGTTCCCATTTATATAAAAGAGGACAGTTAGAATAGACTGTAAATAAGGTAGTTAAGCTTACAATCATCCCAGAATGAGACATAATTTAAAACTTAAACACGCAAATAGAGTATTTCAAAAGGATAGGAATGACACGGAAATCCTCAATAGCTAAACAATAATTCAAAATACAAAAATACTAAGAGAATCCTAAGGAGACTAAGCAGAAACATCATCTTCCTCCAAAGTCTGCTCCAGAGGCACCTCATCCGCCTCTGCTCACATCCAAGTGGATGATCATTGCAAAAGAAAAACATACCCAAGCAAACACAAACACACAAGCAAGAGTGAGCTAGATATAAAAATCATGGTATAACAGTCATAGACAATATGCAAACAAAGACAGATACAATACACTTGCACCTATTTTGATCAATTTAGTGACTTAAACAAGTCACAATACACTAGCTAAGACTGCCCCAACAGTCCAGTTGCGCTTTAGACCCCAAATGCCCAAAATCACTACCTCACTTACTCTCAAAGTGACCTAAAAACCACAAAACTCCAAATTTCTATCCTACAAAAAATATACCAGATTTCACACTTAAATAACTTCCAATTGGTCAATTATAGCAATTCAAACCCATCCAAATCAATTCCAAACAGCTCAACACAGTTTCATGGATTTCACATATCAACGCACACAATACAACATACTCAAAACGTAAAATACAACTCCAAACAGTACACCAATTCAGAATCCAATATACATACACTTCATGCAAGCAATTTAAAAAAGTATTCTAGCTCCCCTTACCTTGGAGTTGAGCAGTACAACCCACTAGAATGCTCTAACAGTGCCTCACACAGCAAGGACCCGATCAAACCCCGCTGAAGAAGGAAAATCTAATCGGATGGTTGCGAAGTTCATTGCGCCGCGGTCACTTGAGCACCACCTAATCTAACATGCAATGGCTGAATGTGAGGGAATGGTAGAGAGAAGACATAGCAAGGTTAGGGAAAATAAGAGTTCTAGAAAGAGAAGAGAAAGTTGGCTAATGAACTCAGATTTTGCAAAATCTCTTTTAAAGTCATGATGTCTTTAGTTTTACGGACCTGACTGCCTCAACCTAAGATCCAATAACCCTACATTTCCAGGCTCTTACAACATTTCTTCCGTTAAATTGGCAAAAACAAAATTAACTTCACGCATGATTATGAAATCAGCACTGTTTTTTCTTTTTTCGTTTGCTTTTCTTGTCCCAATTTTTTTTTCTCTCTTAAACTTTAATTTTATAAATTCAATCTGTTTCTTTCTTAAAAACATTTTGTTCTGAGTAATGTTATATCTTTAATATATTTTATTTTAGTTTTCGGATTATGATAATACCTATCACTGTTTGATTTGAAAAAAATCCAACTTGTTATTTATTCAGTTAATAATTGATACCAAATTAAAATTATCTATAAAATTTTAAAAGACATACTAATATTCAATGTTATTTAAATTTTGTTATAGAATTTTAAAATATAATTTAAAAAAGTTGCCAAAACAATATAAAATTTAATATAATTTAAATTAAAAATGCATTAGTTTTAATTATAATTATAATTAAATTTAATGTAATAAAATTTAATTTTAATTTTAATTTTTTTCATTAATGGATATAAAACAAATAATATAATACTCATGTCAAACTTATTTATAAATAAATATTAAAATATCTATTATTTATAAATATTAAATATTCACATATTTTATTTACAATACTTATTAAAGTGACAAAGGATAAGGAAAAATAATTTAAAATTTTTAATTTATTTTTTATTAAATTAAATGATGTTCTACTACCATTAGAATATCTAAGGTGAATTTGTATCTGCAACTTACATCTTTAAACAACTTTTCTTTTAACATTTTATCTTACAAAGGAAAATATTTTAAACATTAACATTTAAGTTAATTGTAAAATTTATAAAAATAAATAGAAATTTTAATATTAATGTCAAATTTTTGTGTAAAATATTTAAATTTATCTTGACATGTAATATCACGAAATTGGATTAAAAAGTTTCTTTAAACAAGTGAATAAACAAAATAAAAAAGATAAGAAAGTTTATTTTTTTTAATAATCTAATAACATCTAATCACCACTATTAACTTTTTTCTATAATATGTCATTTACTCTGTATCAATGTATTAAAAACTAAACAATGCATTAAATATATTAATTTAGTATTTAATATATTTTATTAAATGTTTTAAATTTTAATTAATTATGAAATATTTTTTGTATTCTCAGTTAATTACGTAATTTATAAGTTTTTGGTATTGATTAGCATTTAGCACCTGCATGATGTAAAAAATAATTTAATTTTAAATAACATCTTTTAAAGTGAAAAGAGAACTAATAATCCTATTATCGTTTTTAAATTTTTTAAAGCTAAGCAATATAACGAAGATATTTGATGTCGATTGCAAAAGGTCTACGTAAAAAAAATTGCAAAAAATAATTAAAATATTTTAAAATCGATTATCTAAAAAAACTGAATTACTTACTATAATAGAAGTAATATAAAAAAGATACATGAAAGAGAGAAAAATGTGAGACATTGCAGAAGAAAATAGAGAAACAATTAAGGTGGTACTAACAGATAAAATAAATTTGTTTAAAAAGCGGGGTACTAACAGATAAAAAACTCTGAAGGAAACAATTAAGCCTTTTGTTTTTTTATGCAAAGATTTTGTGAAATTCTCTTCATGTCTTTCTAAACTGATACTTTGAGCCGGCCACTGAATCTATAAGAGCCAAATCTCTGGATTAGCAATGTACAAATACATTAACTGTGTTTGCGCAATGCCTTTCTAGACAGAAGCCTCTGCAACATACAAAAGTGGTGCTGCTAAATTACCAATTTTCTTTACATTTTCAGTGTCAGTGTAGCACGTGACTCTGCAGTGAAACCTTCACTTTTCACTCCCATGGCTTCCTCATTGCCCTTTTATGCATGAGCTCAGATAAAGATCTGTACTTTGGCTGATTCTGGAAATGGGTTCTCGGATTCAGCTTCTGGGTCTCTGCTTATGGTTTCACTTTGCATGTTCAAGCTTCATTTTTGGTTCCAGAGTGGCAGTAGGAGGAGATGCAACTGTGAAAGGGACTGTTGCCATTGATGACAAAGCTGCGATTGGAACTATTGATGGTGATTTTGTCTGTGCAACTTTGGATTGGTGGCCTCCTGATAAATGTGACTATGGGAGATGCAGTTGGGGTCTTGCTTCTCTTCTCAATCTGGTATTTTTGCTTTCTGTTCTTTTTCAGATGGCTGATGAATTTCTGGAAGGTGGTTTTAGAATTATGAGTGACACAAACTAAAAATGCTTTTTTTTGGCTACTTTCCTTTTATGTTCTGTTCTCATTCTCTGCTTAATGATTTTCTTTTTGTTACTTTTGAAATTATGTTTGAATCTATCATGCATGTCTGCGATCTGCAAAGTAATTCCACTAGAAAGAGATAAATAATTATGTCTATTTTCTAAATACATATTATGTCAATTTCTGATTCTAGTTTGTGGTGGTGAACAAGGTGGTAAGATTCTCATCACATCATGATAAGATTGTAGTATATACCTTTCTTAACTGTTCTTAATAATCGATTTTTATTGACTCTGGCTTCCTCAAGGTTAATGGAAATTCACGTCTGGGTTGAGATTTTAGACTTCGTTTTTTCAAAAACGTGTTCATTTACTGATTAACTGTTCTAATGAGTTCACAAGCTTCCGCTTACAGTACCTTGCAAATCTTATACATCTTTTAATTATCATCTCTTTCAGGACCTCACCAACAAGATTTTTCTTAATGCAGTGAAAGGTAAGATATAATTTACATCTCTATTATATTTGAATTTGGCAGGGATCCAATTCTTTCATTGCTTTTTAATTTATTAGATGAATGCTTTGAGTTTTGAAAGCTTATCAAGGTACTGTTGTGCAGCCTTTTCACCTTTGAAACTCAGATTAGGTGGAAGTTTGCAAGATAAGTTAATATATGGCACTGAAGATTACCACCAACCTTGTACTCCTTTTGTTAAGAACGCTGCTGAGATGTTTGGTTTCACGCAAGGGTGCCTTCCAATGAAAAGATGGGATGAACTGAACAACTTTTTTAAAAAAGCGGGGTAAAATTGAATTCTCCGTGAAATATGCATGTGTGTTTTTGAACCAACAAGATTCACCTTGCGGACTTGAAAAACATATTTCTAAAACATTTTTGAACTGTTTCTTTCAGGGCTAAGATCATTTTTGGATTAAATGCTCTTGCTGGAAAATCAATTCACGGTAATTCTGCAACAGGACCTTGGAATTCCACCAATGCTGAGTCCTTTATCAGATACAATGTTAGAAATGGCTACACCATTCATGGATGGGAACTTGGTAAGCATATGCTGTTCTTATTGTAATTTCCACACCATAGTTACATAATCCTCGCTATAACTGTCTGCTGTGTACCGAATTCACTGTACCACAATCTAAACACCAAGTTTTCTTTAAGGAAAGTCTTATGGAAATCACTATATTTATCAAACTTCTCACAGAGATAGTATGTTCTTCAATACTTTTATGTTGAAGGATATAAATTTGACAGTTTCTCTAAAGAATGAATCATTCTTTTGTTCTATATCAAACCATATTGAGCACTTGTCATTGGCAGGCAATGAATTGAGTGGGAGTGGAGTTGGAACAAGCATTAAAGCAGACCAATATGCTTCTGATTTTGCTGCTTTACGAGACATAGTTAACAATGCATATGCAGATATTGATTCTAAGCCACTAGTCATTGCACCTGGAGGGTTCTTTGATGCAACCTGGTTCAGGGAATTTATAAGCAAATCTGGAAAAGCTTTGGATGTGGTAACCCACCACATTTATAACCTTGGACCAGGTACCCCTCACCAAACTGGCAAATACTCATTATAATTTATATCTTTCCAATTTCCATGACTTTGATTATATTTGAAGGCTGTTTTATCTTAATGTACAGGAGTAGATGAACACCTCGTGGAAAGAATTCTGGATCCTTCCTTTCTTGATAAGGAGGCTAGCACATTCAGTGGCCTCAAAAATATACTTGCAAGTACAGGTACCTCAGCAACAGCATGGGTTGGTGAGTCAGGAGGGGCCTACAATAGCGGTCATCATCTTGTATCAGATGCTTTTGTTTATAGTTTCTGGTTAGTGACAAGCACCCTTTATTATGTTCTTAATGAGGAACTAAAATCTCATGGAATAAAAACTTACTAAATTTTTATGGTAACTAAAACTGAATTTTGAGATATGTTAAGTGATGAAAAACATATTTTAGCCTTAGAAATATTTTGGCTAATGTTATGATATCACAAACAGGTATTTGGATCAGCTTGGCATGTCAGCTTCTTATGACACTAAAACATATTGCAGACAGAGTTTGATAGGAGGAAACTATGGTTTACTCAATACTACCAATTTCCTGCCAAATCCAGACTACTATAGGTACTAATAATTGATTTTCATAGTCTTGCAAGGGAGATATGCATTTTTCATGTAATAATTTCCATGTTCAAGAATGGGGAACATAATTGTGGACCCACATATGCATAGTTTACTTCATTAATGTATAATTCTTCATGAACTGAAATGAATCCACCAAATGTTCCATGCTTCTTTAATTACTTGACAAAGTTTTTTGGCTGATATGGGAGGACCCCCCATTCCAATAATGCAATAGGTGATCCTTTTTCAATTAGATCCACACTATGTTTCTATGGTAATGTTCTTTTTTCTTTACAGTGCTCTTCTTTGGCATAGACTCATGGGAAGAAATGTACTGTCAACTACCTTCTCTGGGACAAAAAAGATAAGAGCTTATGCACACTGTGCAAAGCAATCCGTGAGTGAATTTTTTATACACACACACAATCACACACACATGGTATATATATACAGTGGATAACCTTGTGAGTAAATACTTTGCAGGAAAAGAAAATAAGATGAAATAAATTTTCTTTAATTTGTCAAGATTAAATTATGCAGTGGCTAAGATCAACTTATGAACAAGTTAATTTGGATAACTTGTATAAAATTTGAAGTACAGAAGCTGGTTTTAATTTTTGTAAAAGTTTTATACGTTTGATCTTATTGCTTTCTTATTTACGTATGTTTTGAGAATTTATGCCAAACAAAACCATAGAGACACAAACGCACTATCTATGAAATGTTATTCATAGTATCTATCTTACAGAAGGGAATCACAGTCCTGTTGATCAACCTAGACGGCAACACAAGTGTTGAAGCTGATGTTACCTTCGACAACAATGCAAAGAGTTTGAGGCTGAGAAAGATGTCCAGTCATTCAAACATGATGGAACTGCCTCTTGCAAGTGAAACAGCAAGAGAAGAGTACCATCTAACTCCACAGGATGGGAATATACATAGCCAAATCATGGTACTAAATGGGAAAGCTCTAAGGGTAAACTCAGCTGGTGAAATTCCTCCTTTGGATCCTATATATGTGAACTCATCAGAACCAATAAGTGTTGCTCCTTTCTCTATTGTATTTGCCCATTTACCTGATGCTGTTGTAACTGCTTGCGGCTAGTTAGGTGGCACTAGGGGAAACCAAAATTGGTTTCACTTGGTGGTTTAGCAAATTACATGGAAAAATATGTCTTAGTTTACCAATTGTTTAGGTTAAGAACTAGGATGTTGATGGCTTTCTGCTATTGCTGATCAAGTTCAATGTGATTACAATTTGCTATTGTAAGCGACAAATTCAATTTCTTGCATCACTGAATGAGGCAAACCCTCTTTCACACGAATAATTGTTTTCTTTCTACAGCTATAATTCTCTTCTGATATGGAATGATTTTTTGCTTTGCTTAATTAAAGTTTTAACTACCTAAGTTTCTATTAAAAAAAAATTTGCTCAACAAAATTTCGTCCTATTGCGTGTTCAAACTGTTTTTTGTCTTCCTCTAATCAATCTACCATTTTAATTTTGACATCAATGAAATGGCATGAGTTGACGGATGAATTAAAAGATAATTGAGAAGAAAGAAGTGAATTGATTCATGAATTGGAAATGAAAAGATAAAAGTAATCTTCAAGGCCGAATCTTTGGTTCAGAGATGTTTTATTCTGAGCTTATTATCATAACTATTGAGGAAGAACATTAGGTCTAACATTGAAAGTATGGTTACATTAACTGAGCTTATTATCAAAATTGTAAAAAACACAACCTCGTAAAGGACTTGCCAATAATAATTACATGCATATGAAAGAAGAGAGGACAAAAGAGAGACTTTTACATCACTCAATTCACTTATTACTATTTTAGGATTTAAAAACTAATTAATTTATAATTTAAGTAACATTAAGTTTTAAATTTTAGATCAAAATAAAAGACATGAGAACATCTTAAAACTTTTAAATTTTTAATTAAATATTATCCCTTTATTATATAATACCAACACAACAGTCTCGAAAAAAAAATATCAACATTTATATTCCAGACATTTTATCACGCAATAAAAGAATTTCTAAAAATACTACATATACTCCATAAATTTAATTTAAATTTATCAATAATGTAGATACATTTTACATAATTATTTAAAATAAGTAAACTCTGTATAAATTACGCGTATTTTGAAATATCTAAAGATGTCAAAATACATGTTAATATCTAACATGAGCTTTACGTAAAATTAATTTTCCACACCTACCTAATTACAAATTGGAAAGTAAATTCGTTGATTTTGACATTAATATTTTAAAATTACATTTATTGTTTAACAGTATAAAATAAGTTACTGTTTATTTAATTATGAATTATTTATAAGAACTAATTTAAAAATTTGTAATTAATTTATTGATTTGAAAAGTGATGAAACATAATTCACGTGGTAGGTGCTAAGTTGATTTGGGTAAAGCAAACCATTAGTTCCCGGAACCTTGACACTAACACAAACAGAGGGATTTTGACAAAAGTGAACAAAGCGAAACCGCGGAAGAACAGATTCCTCACGCAGCGTTGGTTTGCTTCCATTCTCTTGTGTTGCGCATTCACATCACTTCCCTCTCCGCAAGCCAAGAATATATGCTTTTACGTTCATTTCTCTCTTTCTTCCCTTTTTTTCTCTTTCGCTCCGCTCGGAGATCTACACAACGTTCTAGGTAATACCTACTATTTCTTCGTCGTTAAGATTTCAATTTCGCTATGTTGTTAGCACGTCTAATTGTACAATGTTCTATGCCTTTGTGTTTTTCTCCTTCTTTTGATTAATTTTACTGCTTGTGTTGATCATCATAATAATTGTAATAACAATTACGGGAATCATAACTAGGTCAATGATTTAGTTCAGCTAGAAATTTGAATGCTATATTTCGGGATTAAGTTGACGCATGGAAACAGTGGTAAAACGGTGTCGTTTGATTTGAGCTGGGGTCATTTTGGATTTTGTTGCTATTATATGCAGTATCAGCAGTTTGAGTTTCTCTGTTTTGTTTTGTTGTTCTGGTTGCTTTTTCTTCCACGGATTTCACTCAATGAGTCTGCTAGCATTATCATCCCTTCCCTTTAAGAGCCGATGCTCATTTTCTCTTGAAGACTTCACTCACCTACCAACATTTAGTTTGCACCTTAATCTAGACAATAGTTAACCCTTTTTCTGGCCTGATTTTTATTGAAAATATCAATTGTTAGAACTTAAGTAGAGAACCCTACCCTAAAGACTATCCATTAAATAGGAGAGTTTCGAGAATTATTCACTCAATGTACCTAACTTCTCTTTTGCTTGGTGATGATGATGATGTTATTTTTACAAATGAAATGAATTGCAATTTACTTCCTATTGTTGGCAAGCTTTTGTTAGAAGAGAATAGAATGACGCAGATTTGGGTTTCTAATCGTGCTATTTTATTTTAATTGGGATTGAGAAGTACTATCCTTATTTTTTTGTTGCATGGATTGGTTACATGGATTAAAAGTGGTCATAATGTTCTATTATGAATCAATCTGTCCTTAGAGAAACCATCATCCTCCAATTTTTATGAAAATGGTTTTTCTCAATCTACTTATTCATGTAACAAAAGGTCCGTCTACTATTTAATGATTGATCCATTTCAGTAACCGTTGGCTTCTACTGATTTTCTCCTCATGCCCAAACCACTTAAGGTGGGATTCTACCATTTTCTTTTATTTATTTTTCCGTAACAGTTGCTACCCCAACTTTTTTAAATTCTTTTCTAATCCTATCTTCTCTTATACATGGGCATATCCAGTGCAACATTCTCATATGTCCTATGCTGACATTACTCTCTTGATGCCTTTTTGTTGTCCATTAGTTAGTTCCGTGCAGCATGACAAATTGGAATGGATACAGTATTAAAGATTAACTCGTTGTACTTTTATGCTTTTAAATTACTGAGGACAAGCTGTGGTATTTACTGTAACTGAGATGAGAATTGGAATGGATGCAGTATTGGGCAAATGCAACTGCTAGTGAAAATTGGGTAGCTAATTTGTGGAGTGACACACCCCTGGAACTTGGAAAGCTGTGGTAGTAATGGATCTTGATGGGGGGAGTTCGCCAACAGTTAGCACAGGAGTGCAGGAAATTCCAGGACGTTCAACACAACCTGGTGGTGAGTGTTACTTTCTTGGCAGATTTTCAACTATTTCTGGCAGCTTAGACACTGCAAGCTTTTGCAATGCATTAATGGTTTTTCTAATAGATGATTTATATCTGGCAATTATATGATTAATGAATTTTGTTTAATAAACTGGAAACTAAACAGGGTTTTGTCAGGAGAGTTCAGTTACTGGATTCTTTACATGTATTGAATGATTTATTTATTTATTTTTTATTTTCATTTTTAATTTTTATAATTTTGCCTCTTCTTGAAGCATGATATAAGAATGAAACTCTAAATTATTTCATCTCTAGTAACAATAATCAAAATACAGATATTGGTTATCACTATCAGCAGTTACAAAGAAGAATATAAGATATTGTATTTACTTTTCTCCTTAAAGCATAGGTTTTTGTTGTAGAGGGAGAGGAAGAGAGAGGGTGAGCTAATCTAGAGTGTTTTGAGAATGAAAAGGCTTATTCAATTAGTACATATATTATGCAAACAAATCTTCATGATAGACTTAGAGCTTCTTTGAACAAGCTTCTCCATAAGCATTTCTGGGAGAGAAAAAGAAACAAATGAAACGAGCTTCTCTATTAGCTAAAGTTAACTTATGCACAAGTTAAAATTTTTTTTTGGAGAAGTTATATGAAAGAAATTCTACAAATAAGCTTATGCACAAACTAATTTTAGCTCATGGAGAAACCCCTTTCATTTTTTTCATCTTATTTTTCTCTTCCAGAAGTACTTATGGTGAAACCTATATGTTAAAATTGTGACTGTTATTGTATTGTACTCCTCTCTTCTAGCCTAACAGTTGAGCAAGAAGTAGAAAATGGTTACTAGATCCAGTGTTGAAGTTAAGCACCGAGTTATGGCAGCAATTACATGGCTGAAACAACTTCTTCATCAGTTAAAATTTGGAGATACACATGATACTTGACCATTATGTTACAATGAAGTTGTCGTTTACACATCAAACCCAGTCTTCCATTAGTGAACTAAAAACATAAAGATTTCATTGTCATTTTTGTGGGAGAGAAACTACAATGAAGTTGTCGTTTACATTGCATCAAACCCAGTCTTCCATGAGCGAACTAAAAACATAAAGATTTCATTGTCATTTTTGTGGGAGAGAAGGTGCTTTTGGGAGAAATCATCACCGACTTTGTCAATTCTAGTGACCAACTTGAAGACACACTCACTGAATCCATACTCTCGTGTTGATTACATTTGTAACAAGCTTGACTCATGTGACATGTATGCTTTAACTTGAAGGGAGTGTAGAAGATATGATTTGGACTCAATAGTTAGGGAAATATGAACAAGTGATAATTAGTATATTCTCCATTATTAGGTTTCCCTTATATTATGCTTTGAATGATTATATAAATGAAGGATTTGCATGTGTGTGATTAAATACATAATTAGCAACAGCAGAGAAACTCAATACAACTTTCATAAAGCTACTTTTTGGGTGTATGTACCTAACCTAAGGGTTGAGTGTTATAGGATATAACTTTTCATGTATTGTACTCTTTTCTTTCCATATATATATATATATATATATATATATATATATATATATATATATATATATATATATATATATATATATATATATATAAACATCAGCTGAGCACAATTACCCACTGTAACATCCCCAAAAATATAGCTTTAAACTATACTTAGGAGTCCTTACATTCATAATAAAATAGAACAGTTTACAAGAAGAATAAAGTTAATTTACAGCTGTCCTAGAATAACCATAAATTTACAACTTTACAGAAACCTATACTAACACAACTCATAAGATCAGACTGATCAGTCATACAAGCAACGTATTAAACGAACGGTCTTTTACTAATACAAAACTAGCACCAGACCGAACGGTCTTACCTTAGCAAGAACCATCTTCTCCTGCCATCGCCTGCTCCAGAAAAACTTCAGCTCGTTCTACTCACACCCACAGGGTGATCATTGCAAGGACGAGGACGACCGAAAGGACAACCAAACAAGACAGGAAAATAAGGGTAAGCTAGTGTAATTTAATTAACTATGTAAACAGATTACTCACATAAATCTGATATAAATCAATCAGTCCATTATGTAACAAACAATCATACATTTCCACCCATAATCGCACCACAATGCATGCATTGACTGTTCACTTTACTCTGACTGCCCAGACTGTATGAATT